GTATCATGCTTTAAGAACTTTAGGATGTGCTAAAGCCATTGTCAGAAGTGTTGAGTGTGCAGACTACATTCCTTTAACAAATTTGCTATGCTGACCAGGAGGTTATCTTTACAAAAATGCTAACTGGGCAAAACTTTCTCAACTGACTACTTTATATCTAGGACCATGATACTGCAGGCCTTCCAGGGGACTCAGCTAAATCCCAATGCAAAACAGAGGTCCTGGCCCCAAAATTATTAAACCGGTTTTTCCTCACCTTGTGTGTTGTGATTTGTTTTAGTCCAGAATTTCAGGGTACACACACTCTGGTGCCTGCACCCGAACTTCATGTAATAATGTTTGTAAAAAAGGCATCTTTGTGATCATGAACTACACACATACCTCTGTCTTCCTTTACTCAGTCTGCACTGGACAAACATACCTTTTCTAGCTTCATAGACTTCGCTCTGCTTATCTGGGTGTTTGATTTGCTTTCTGCTGCTCCTCTCTTTTGCAGCTTACCATTTTTCCTGGACAAGCTGCAGTATTATTAAACTGTCTGAATGATGAACCAGGAGAAAATTAAAAGACAAAGAACAGCACTAATACTCCAAACCTGAGCATCTCTTTCCAGCCCAAACAAGGGTTAAAAAACACTTCCAACTCCTTGCTCAGTGCCTGCTTTCCTGAAGGTGCTCAAGATGTCTCAGTTCCATAGAGACAAGCTTTTAAAACTAAAGCCTCTCTCTGATCAGTAACTCCTGTACTGACAGTAAATAAAGCAAAATGCCAGCTTTGCAAGAGAAGAAACTTCAGTAGTGCTTTCAGTGAGGCTGATGCAGAAGAGGCACAGCAGCAAAAGGGCAGACTTCTTTCTGTAAAAACATCTGGAGAACTCAGCTGTCCCACTGCCTGGGATGCAAAACCCTCAGCAGGTATGCACAGGAACTGCAGAGCTTCCTCACAGAAAATGTTTCTACAGTCCAGTAGTCTCCCTTCAAATGCTTTAAGTGTAACAACAGAAGGCTCACAGAACTATTTTAGGCTCCCCTGCCAAACCTCACAAATGCCTTCCACCTCCCTCTCCTCCCCACATAACTAACAGTCAATATAAGGGCCACACAGTGAGGTTACTCTGCTAACTGCAGCCATGTTCAGGAACAGGTTTATCCTGGTGTGGGTGATTTTGGGTTTTTGGCATTTTTATTTTGTTTCCAACTGTCAGAGGATGTAACAGATGGGAAGAATTAGCTCTCTTTGCTGAGGTGGCAAAGAGGAGGCTTCTGCACCAGATTCCACATTGCTAAGCATTGGGGACTCTCCAGTCAGAGAGAAACAAGCAAGGACAATAATCTGAAGCCTGGATTCCACCAGGATCTCTCCCTCCAGCTCACTGAGGTCTCTGGGACTTTCAATCTGCAGCAGTTATTAAGAAGATCCTAAAGAGGTTGGAGGCAAGGTTCTTACAAGCAGAATTAAGCAAGAACATTTTCCTAGTCAGCATTATCAAATTATTTCTATATCTACAACTCAAAGGATATTTTCCCTAGAGAACTCTCATGGAAGAAAACAAACCCCATACTTGTTACATTACTTTCCCATTCTCCAATACCATTTCAAAGCATACCTTGATGGTCCTGTGTCCTGGTAAGTTGACCTATGCTTGAACACCTCCACAACGAATTCATCCACGTACTACTGAATCCTCACTTTGTTTATCTTAGAGTATACATCCCATGTTTTGGGGGACAGGATGCTTTACACTTGTCTCACATTTCAGCAATTGGAACTGCTGAACACCCTAACCTGGAGGAAAATTGCAGGAAGATACTTTCAAAATCAAGAGTTCACAATGATTTCCCCCTCTGCTCTTAATCCAGAAGAAAGCCTGGAGTCCCCTAACCCCACCAGCCACAGCCCAACACCATTTCCATCTCTGTCCAAATTTTCACATGGTCAATGAAACCAGGCTACAACACATAATCACATTAAGAACTCAGTTGTTACGGTGAATTCTGACACAGTACAGTCAACTCAGTGGCCAAGCTGGCTTTGCTATCCTATGGTTTGCTATTTGGACAAATAATGTCTGAGCCCTTTCGAGCAAGTGAATGCTCTTTCCATTACTGCAGGTTTGGAGCACTGCCCCAAGAAATTCAGGTTAATTTTCTAATGAACATTTTGTTTTCTCTAAAGAGACCTGTACAGTTCCACATGGGGTTTAAATACAGTCATGAACGTTGTGTTCTTCCAAGCCAATTAGATTAAATTTTTGACTGTGTTTTTTAAAATCTGATTTTTTTCTGACAGGAACATCAGCGTTCTCACATAATCTTACCACTGTCAAATGGCAGAGGGTCATCACATGCCAAAGGTGGAGCCAACAGCACAGAAAATGATACCAGTAATCTAAGATGGTACAATGGATCTAGCTTGTTTTGTGCCAGAGTGAATGAGCTTTATTACGAATTATGGAAGTTCATCACTAGAATGGCACAGTATGGCAATGCAAGTGGCTTTGTGTTTGTAACACAGTGATGTGTTTTATGTAACACAATGTTCTGCTTTAGCAGTTCAAATATTTGCCCATGTAACCCCAGTATCAAGAGTAGTTTTAAATCATCAGAGGATGGTTACTGTCACTAGTACCAAATCAGTATTTTGCATGAAATGAGCTGACAGCAATTCAACTTGCCATACAGCTGTTTTACAGCTGCTGTGTTTAACACTCACATGCTCTGTAATGATTAACATTTGCCAGGTTAAGTCAAAGCAAGAAACCAGATTAAAAAGAGAAAGTCCACAGCTCCAAACATTACTAAACTGATGTTTGAGTCTGAAAACGTAACTTTAAGATACTGAAATTGCTTTATGTACATGCTTATTTTATCCCCTTTAGTTAACAGACTTCATGTGGGGGCACTGTATTTTACATAAAAATAAGGTTAGCTTAAAAAAAAAGTCTGCACTACTCACTGGTTGTAAACTCTGCAAAAAGTCCAAATAAGGATAAGAGCTAGTATAAACTATTTCTAGATTCAGAAGTAATTACAGCACAGAATCTAGCTGTAAGTATCTTAGAATGTCCACCCTCCAAGTTTTAATGTCTGAAAATGTGATAAGTCTGGCAATAATGAGAATTGTGAAGAAATTAGACAAGCTGAAATGAAGACAGACAAAAGTATTTTTTAATATAAAAATGGTCTTTATTTCTTCAATACAAGGTAAACTACTATTGCAGTTTAAGACCAACACAAAAGTTGGACAGCAAATTGCTTAACAGTCTCCTAAAGGCTGAAAAAAAGAAACCTATGAAAGCTAAAAGTTGTGCAATATTTCAAGTATAACATCTAAAAAAATGTAATTATCCCTAAATTTACAGATTATTTAAGTACCTCTGCTGAAAATGTATTGAAATCCACATTTGCTAGGATACCATCTTACCTTGCAGAGAAATAAAGGTCTCCAAAAACTGCAGTATTCAACAGACTCTTTGGCCTGCCAGCATCAGGGAACTGTTTGCTATATATATAAAATCCTTTGGAGTCAGGCATCCATTTCCTTACATTTTGCATTGCAATTCTGCATTCCACCTTGGACAACCCCCCTCCTGTATTTCAAACCATTTCTTGAATATTTACTCATATATCCTTGTGCAAAGCAGGAACCAGGAAATAGAATGGTACAGGAAGACAATACAGCCTTTTGTTTAGAAAGTCAGCAGTGCTGGTAATCATCATAAAAATGTTAGAGTTTACCAAATAGGAATGTATTTCACCTTCAAAACACTTGGCTTTTTTTTTTTCCTTTCTTTATTATTTTAAAAAAGGACAACTGCAGTAGTAAGGAATATGAATTTGCAACCACTTATATTTATAAAAGCACACACATTCCTCATTTTCTTACATCTGAAGATCAAAGGAATGTCTGTTTCATAATGTGATAATAATATGCACAGTTTAAAATATTTTCTATTACAAAATACTGTGTACAAGAGGGTGAGGCTGAAGTCTATTGAATATACTCTAAAGTGTTATTACTGAAATTATGTAAAAATCACATTACATGGTATGAATAGATAGGAATTTTTACAACTTAAACGCTCCATTCCATCAGGATCAAAAGTATATGTTTACTATTTTCAAGAGACTTCTGTAAAATTAGTGTATTTTGAAGATTTAAGCACAGGCATATGCATCATCCCAGAACCCATTGCAATCACTGGGGCTACAGAAAGGGTTCATGAATTAACAAACGTATTATATATAAAATGGAATAAGGAGCTTTATTGTATTTTGTCCAACATGGGGGAAAACAAATCCCACACAAACATCAAACTGATGAGCTTCTATACCCCAAACTGCTCCTTAGTAAATTTAGCCTCTATAGCTAAATGGAAATCTAAAAATACATGGGATGTCAGACCTTAACAGGGTATGGGGAAGAAAGGGGAGGAAGGCAAAACAAGTACAAAACCAAAAAAACCCCAACTCACCACCCCCATCCACCCCAAGCTAGTCTGAAGTATTAATTGCAAGGCATCATAATTGCAAGAGACAGTATTTCTGCATAAACATGATTCATCAGCATGGTGCAACCACTATGTTCAAGACCTGTGCAGTCAATTACCAAAATAATTTGAATCTCAACTGAATCCACATTGCTGCTTTTCTATATTACAATCCTTATTTTGGAAAGAATTCAAATTAATTCATATTTTTATATGGACACTGACCTGCACTTTCCTTCTCTAAAATCTTGAAGGGTTTATATTTCAATGCAGAAGCAATTTAGTGTCTCAGATCTCTGAAGAGTACCAGTCCTAAACGTGCATGGTTTATATTTAAATCTACACAATTGACAGTATCTTAACGAGCATTGTATTAGGAAATTTAAGGCTGTATCTCAGTTCACACAACAACCAAAGACAATTTTAACAGGCTATGTATAAAATTCTGTAAATAAAGAGCAAGTTTAACCTGTACACAAAGAGCAAGTGGATAAGGAAAGAAAATCAGGAATTAAGTATTTCTACAAAGAATGCCATGTATTTTACTAAAAACACAGATGACAAGTATATACAACATTTAAATCTCCAATTATCCACATACAACTAGGAAAAAAAACATTTACAAGGGTTTGGGTATGCAACTAAACAATCAGGTAAAAAATACAGTTAGAAAAACTAAGCCTCACCAATTTCAAAGGAACAAAACCAGAAAGTACTCAGTCCATAAAGAAAAAAGCTAATGTCTAAATTTAATAAAAGTATCTTGTTTAACACAAAAAACAACAGCTATCCAAGCTTATAAGCCACACTGTAAATAAAAATCTGAAGTTCTGACAAACATTTTCCAAAATGCCATCAGAACAAAAAATATTGGCACAGAAAGCAAAAAAGAAATGAGGGGGGAAAAAAAAGACTGTACAGTTTCCAAAATGCTATGTTCTTCTTCTTAAGTACTTTGACCTGTCAAAATGCATAATCCTGTAAAAATTTTACTTTAAAAAAACCACCCTCTACTTCTAAAAAATGAACCACCAAAACAAGTTCTGTTGGTAAAGCACCACCACCCCTAAGTCACTACTTGTTAGTTTTGTCTTTCAAGATAAAGGACATAGCCTTAAGATAATATTTTCAATGTTACTTATAAACTCAATATTTGAAAAAAATTAAGTATTTCCTCAGAGATTATTTCATCCTTTCATCAGCAAAAGGAAATGAAATACAATTGAATGAATATTAAACAGCAGTAGCCATCATGGCATCACCACCATTCAGCAAGTTTCTAAACTCCCATTTCCTGCACGTGTACAGGAAATTGCAGGAACCTTTAGTAAACCAAGACTTGGTAAAAATTCTACTACAGATCCAGTTACACATGATGTACATTAGGCATATTCCTTTTTGGTGTTTATCAGGGTCTTTGGATTTTTTCTGTACATTTTTTTTTCTTTTATATAAAAAAAAAATCTAACAAAGGAAGCTCACTACAACAAGAGAGTATTACCTAAAATGCAACACAGTACATTTATCGGTTAAAACTAAATCTGGAGAACAGGCAGAAATAATGGGCTTCATACAGGGATCTCATCTCTCAGGTCACAATGGTCATTCTCTTTAACTTACATTATTTACCCCCTGCTATTCTCTCCCTGCTATTTCCATTGCCAGCAATGGAAATATGTGAATGAGAAATGACAATCTATGTAAAAAGAGAAACAGTCTCAAATCTATTTCAATGTGGACTAAAATATCAGTTCCTACATAAAATGCTTGTAACGTTACTTTTTTTTATTTTAAAATTTCATATATCTACGCAATGGAACATTACTTACCTGCTGCTTTTCCAGTATTAGCTATTCCCCATTTAACTGCTACAGGCAGGTAATTTCTTCCTTAAAGTTATTACACACAGTAGTAAACAATGTTTTTAAGTAAAGAAAACGAAGTTACAACAGTACTGTTTGTAACCAATACCTATTCACAAAAAAAGCAAGAAGTGATTCATGACTTGCTTGATACAACTTTCAGTTTTACAAAATATTTAAAGGCAGTTTTCATTTTCAAACAGGATTAAACAAACACGTGAAATATCTTCTCAGAAGCAAATAGTTCAATTAACACCAGTGATCCCATGTGTGAGGAACTGAGGTACACAGTTTAAGAAAAAAAGAAAAAGGGGCGAGTCTGAAGTCCAACAGCATCAACCTGGCTGCAGGAAACCTGGTTCAATAGTAGGTGCCAAAAATATTAGAGCATTTCAGGCTTATGCAAAACTTTAGCAGTTGCACAAGCTACTGGTCCCAACTCAGTAAAGCATAAAAATCACTCACATATGCAAATACAACACTTAAAGCATATGTTTATATTTCTTGAAATTTATGAAATATAAGCACATGCTTTATACGCTCTGGAAAACCAAACAGATTTAAATGCTTTCCTGAACAGGGTAACATTTTAAGTCAGCTGTAAAATCTTCAAAACTGGTAAAAAAGAAATCAAGAGGCTTCTAAGAGTTGCCTCTTAAAGCCATCTGAGGTCTTGAAACTTAACTTAAAACATTAAGTGCAGCTATTTGAACAAGTGACAACTCCAAGAGTGTGTCTGTTACATAACGTTTTACAACAGACTGAAAGTGAGCCTTTGCACAAGGCTGACTGAAATGAAGCTTTTGCAGCTTTTGTGAAATTTGCTTGCATTTGACACTTGATGAAATTTAAAACAAATTCTTTAATTTGACGCCTACTTTCACTGAGTGCTCCAATAATTTGTTTTTAGGTAAATTTACAAAACCTCATCTGACAAATTTAATCAGTGCCATTTTTTGCTAAAGACATTTAAAATATTGCCCACTGGTGAACAAGGACATACAAATGTACCTTCTCTTTTATATGCACGTGTGAATAAACCCCAAAGTATTAAGAAAATACCAAACCCATGAAGTCATAAAAATGGTAACATCTTGTTTCTTCTGGCACATTTCTAATATACAACTATGTACAGACTGCTACGGCCTTGGGGGTGGACAGGGAACACACACAAGCACTATTACTATAAAACTGTAAACAACTGCAGGATTTTGGGTGTTTTAAACCTAACCTTTCTACCCCTTATTATGGGCAGTTTAAGTTCACATAAACAGTTTAAGTTTATATTAACTGTAGTGTTAATCAGGATCAAAGCTATATGAGAGATAAAATTTTCAGTGTGCTAAAAATCACAGACCTGGGACTATCTCTCCTCAGAACAACCGACCACAGAGAGCTGCAGTTTTTACAGTTTTATAAGTCAATTAGCAAATTCACAAGCCACCTAGGTAAACACTGCTAAAAAGCAAAACAGAATTAAAGGTTTTACGTAACCACCTATTTTTGTATCAAAATTGAGTGGGAGAGCGCGACATTAGTATGTTTAACTCGCTGAATCCAAGATTAGGTTGAGGCATAGGCAAGAACTATTGCGATGTTTCTGAAGACAGCATCAATGTTTTCATTGTAACATTATCTTTAAATATTGCTGAACACATGACTTTCCCTGAGGTGTAAACATCAAATAACTTGAACAGCTTTACACATCAGCCCCAATAAACAGTTTATTACAACACTACATCTACTGTAATCAGTGGTGCTGTGTACAGACATTATATGAACAGTTTAACATGAACAAACTACTATAAAAACAAGCATTTACTTGACTTTTTTCAATTGCTTGCACATTATAATTGCCAAATGTATATAACCAGTAATAAAGTTGCAAAAGCTATAAGGTTTAAATCACACAGGTTTCCCTCAAATAAAACAGTTAAGCAACATAAAAAAGTAAAAGAGCTACTGGTTACCATGTATGCAGATTTGCTTTATTCAGATCTATTCCTGTTCATATTATCCATGAATCCTTACAGGCTCAGTTCAATCACATGAAGCAAACTGCTGGACAAGCATCTTTCCTTGAAGAATGTATCTTGTCTTGCACGCTGTTCCTCTTCCTTCAGCTGTAATGTGTCAAAATTTGTGATGTAGATTTTGCTACTCCCCAAAACACACAGAAAATTGTTGGCTTATCTATACATACATAACTTGTGCATCTACTTCACCATGATGTTAACTAACATAAAACACCCAGAAGCAGTAGCTACTCATTTGAAGTTGTTTTCCAATTCAGTAATTAAAAATAAGATTAATGTTGTTGAACAACGAAGCTGAAAGAATATAAACTTCACAGTTAAAGTATTGATGATAAAGAAATAACTACTGCTTCTGTGTCTGACTGCCAAATTTATATAGAACACTTCCTAAAGTATGCATTCTGCAAGAGTAACTGAACAAGAATTTAAAGTAATTTTACCACAATTAGATTTTTACATTTTTACCTGCCCACTTACATAAGTTTTAAGATGGTTTGACATTTAAGTAATTAATTGATTATATAAAGAAGTGGATGGCTCACAGCTCAGTAACATTTAAAAGCACACAGAATCTGACACCAGTACTTCAAAAGACTAGTGGCAAGCTGGATGGGGTTCACATCTAAAAATACACACTTGCAGTTATGCACAAGAACCCACTTTTCAATTAACACAATGTAGATTTGCAGGTTTCCTCACCTAATTGCCCTTGAAAAAACCCCAAGCCCTACTTCCTGCTCTCATCTATTTTGGCAAATCAGGGAACCACACAATTCACAGTTAATTACTGTAAGAGTTCACAAAATACTTGGGATAGTATAATTTCATACACTGGATTTCAGTTGAATTCCATTACAAAACAATTAGCTATCTTAATTTCATTAATAATTCACAATTTCAACACTCAATTTCAAAATAGTTTCAATCAAGTTCTTTCAAAAACCCAACACATTAAATTATTCATTTGAAAACCAAGGCATTTAGAGAAGCAATTTCATGAACGTGCAACAGTACACAGCTGTCAAATATTCTTCTATTAGTACAATACTTTCAAAGCTGGGAAAACTAAGTATGCAATTTTTCTTCATTTCCTCAAAATGACTGTTAACAATAACTTTTAAAAATTCCAAAGTATAACCAAGTATATCCTATACACTATAGTATGCACATAAACTAATCCCAATCAGTAAGCGAAATGTCTTCTCTTATTCAGAGATTTTGTTCCCAGGTCCTGAATGCATCAACAACTAATTTTGGGGAAGCTCCTTCCCCAGAGGCCAGTGTTTCCATGGGAGTTATGTACTTCTGAAAATAATTAGTAGCAAAGTGACAATGTGCTACCTCCACAAGAAAAACACGTTCGGAGCTGTGAGCTAAGTTAGCACAAACAGACAGGAGAGAATCTCAGTTTTCTAGTGGAGAAAGTCAGTACTTGACAGCTGTGAGAATGCACATCAGAATTTGCTGCTCTCATCATACAATTGCTGCAGCCAGAACTATGGATCTTGGTTATGTCTATGGCAACAGTTAACAGATCCAAAGCACCCTATATATGATTTAATACTACTGTAAGAAAGCTTCAGTTCCTGGGAATAATTTGCTATATCTGTAAAGGTACTTATGGATCTACAGGAACTCTAAAGAATGCACAATAAAGTGAATTTAGGATTAATGCTTTTTGGTATGGGGCTTTTAAGATGGTCAGCGCCACACTGAGCCTTCATTTTTAAAAACGTGACCAACTAAAATCCAAAGTAGTGTACATTTCAGTTCCAAGTATTCTGCCACTATATCTTGGCAAAACTGGAAACTCTTGTGGTTCCAAAAAGAAATAAATCTGTATGAATTATACCTGCATGCTCAGCTTTTTTCAGTATTCTACAAGCAAGTAGAATATTGAAGAAACAAAAAACTTTTTAAAAAATTTAATCTCTAATCAGTATTTCTTGGCATCTTTTCCATCTGCCTCAAGCTCATACATAAGCTATCTGTCCCAAGCACGTGTTAGATTTGTACAATTTAACACCAGACAGCAATCAGTTTCTCAGCATTTCTACCGAAATTTACCAACTCTCTCCAAATTTCAGACTTAGGTGTTGAATAGAAATTTTGTGGTTTAAAAGTTAGGGGTTTATGCCAGAACATTGCACAAATGAAATCCCAGAACTTGAGTGATCAAATATTTCTATATTTATGCAAGATGCAACTTGAACACTTTTTTACCCACAAAAACACATTCTTACAACAAAACCCCAGTAGATTTCTTATATATATAAATATATCAAAAGCATCTTGCTATAGCAGCTCTACTTTTTCCCTTTAATTCCAATTATCCAAATATTCACATAAAAGCTTTAAACAGCCGTTAAAATTTTGAAAATTCTACAGCAATTTTAAAGCTGTATATACATACAACCCTCAAGTTTTATTATAATAGTTTATTTTCAGAGATTGGATTTCAATCTCACATGTTCACATTTCAGTAAAATGCACAAGATACATTTGTTATTATATCCTAGACACTCCTATGAATTACTTCATGTAATTCTCCTTTATTTTATTCTATACATGAAGAAAAAGCAATATACAAATAAAAAATCCCAGAGAAAATACCAGCTTAAAAGGCAAAAATGTCTTTTTAATTTAACCTACATTCCAGAACATCAAAAAATACCCCAAATATTCTGATGCTTTAGCTGTAACATAGTGAGCAAGAAGGAATTTCAAGCTTGACTTTCTATTTGTCTTTCAGCGTGTAAGCACAGATACTCATGTGGTTCTGTTCTGTTCACTATACACGTACAGACCATTTTATCAGCACTAGCATCTTCTCACATTTGTTGCCTGTTACCCCCTCTTATTTTGAGTGTACTTACCTGCTGTCTTTGCTCAGTCTTAGTGTATAATTTAAGATCAACACAACAATAAATTCATGACTGTATATCAATAATTTTACATGGGGGAAAATCCTCCTAAACTAACTTAATTTGTCAGGTATCTTTCTTCTATTATCCCATCCCGTCTATTCATCAAAACTAACTGATGAACAGAGAGGTGCGTTCAGAAAATTCCATCTTTAGTTTAGAGGTTAAAAAGATATTAATTATTGGCAAGTATTTTTCACATTCATATATGAGGGAGAGACAAAAAGGTAGATCAAGCTGCCACATGTGTCTCCTCTTTGTTTTTTTGGTAAAAAGAAATCTTAGTTCTCAAACCACAATGAGCAAAAGTAAAAAAGTTTTTTTTTTCATTCTTTGAAGAACATTGGTTCTTCATTTTCATTACTGTACATTTTCACTACTGCATTTCATATGCATAAAAGTTTCTTAGGGAACTTTTCACACAGATCAAATTTGTCAAAACTAATGAATTCACAAATAAAGAAGCCCAGGATATGAGGAACAAAAAAATATAAGTGTGTCTACACACACCTCAGAAGTCAGTAAAATTACAGCAACATATTTATGGGAAAAAAGTAATAAAAGTTATTCATTTGAAAATAAGTAGCATAAGATATTCTATTCATTTTTTAAATCCTTGTTTCACCCTCAAGAAAATCAATTCATCACTGAACATTAATAGACAAACTCTGTATTTCTGCAAAGCACCAGAGTAATGGTTAAAACAGATTTTAAGAAGCACATAAACCAGTGGCACTGCTTGCCTCTATTCATGCTATGCTGGATTGCAAATACTGAATCAGATGCACAAAGCATCATTTCTCTGGTGAATGCTAAACACAGAGGAATAGTGCCAGCCCCACATAAAACACACAGTTTAAAAAAAAAAGAAATTAGGTAAACAATATCAATAATAGCTCAACACTGAGACCTGATATAATTCTAGACAGGTATATATACCCAGGTCTTGAACAATGTTACCACATGATTCATTTAATATTAACTAGAAGCTTATTATTAAAAATAGCCTATTAAAAGCAAGCATTTGCCAATTCATTCCAAGTTTTCTTAAAAGGCTAATTTCATACTTCACTTGATGTTTAAGTGGTTATTAGCATAGTTACAGAACCATTCGAACTTAGAGAAGCAAAGATATAATGAATACTATGTACTATGTAAGCCATCAGTATCATTTCCCCTCCTACTAACACAAAAAATTCCAACCATGTTATTTCTTTAATCACTCTAAAGCTGAAAGTAATTTCAGAGTGATCTGAGAGCAGAAGAAGCATACAAGCCTCAAACTTCAAATTATTTTGCTTACAGTGGTTTGAGAGCAGAAATATCAGAGAATAAACATGAAATATGGAGTACAAAGTCTACATACATATCAACTGTTACAATGTTGTGGTTTTGTCTTTGCAATTCAATCCAAATCCAGTTTAAATAGGAAATAATCAACCCAGTAACAAAAACATAAAATGAAAAACTTAACATTCAGCAGTTATAAAAATTCAGACAGATTAAGGTTGAGACAATGTATCAGCTAGAAATACATTATTGATTCTCAGTTTAAAAAAAAATTCTGCCTAACAAGTCAGGACTCATGCTGATGAAGTTACATTACTATTCTGTTTGTACACATTAATTCTTCTAAATATCGTTCTATTGGGTTCTCAGTTTTTTTGATTTATACAGGTTAGACACTTGTCTTAAATCCATTGTTCTATTATTTACAAAAATAGTATCTTTTATATTTATATTTGCTTTCTATGAGCAAAGGCAAGATGTTCCAAAGAAGCATTCAGTTTATAGTAATTCAGGAGAATGGGTTGTCAATGTACATAAAGTTTTATTCAAGTGAAGGCACAAAAATCTTGCAACAATTAGATTTTAAGTCATGAAGTGTACAAACAGAAGTGTAAATACCTGATATGGTACAACTAAACTTTTTAAAGTTTTGCTGTTATAAACATATTTTGTAAGTTATTCCAATTTAACCCATCTCTATAAATGTAATACAGAACAAACAGAATTTCACTGTTCACAGAAGTTTTCACAATGGACCCTTAGAATCTTTCTGAACTAGACGTGTAACATTTTGGAAAAAATGCCAGTACAGTATCACAGTCATGACTATAGGTACACAATAAAGGAGAAATATAGGTGCCATTCATAGGGTGCAGGCACAGAGGCAACTTCATGTTTTCTGGCAAAACACAGTAATATGGGGAATAACTCGTTTCAGCACTGTTGATATTTATTAAATGACTGAGTGTTAAATCACTTTATGAATATTATTCAATGTAAAAAATGAAACAAAAAATGTATGGGAACATACATCTTAGTGAAAATGAAACATACAAACCAGGAGATAACTGTATTTCTTTTATATGTGCGTGTGTGTGTATAAATATATAAAAACAAAACTACAATAAAGCTCTTCTTCGTTAAGACAGCAACAAGACAAACTGTTTACAACTTAACTTAAAAAAATACCAAATGTTTTAATTTACATGTAGTATACTAAATTTGCCATTTAAATCAAGTTCTTAGGACCTATTTTCTTTGCACAAGGGAATCTTACCAAGTCCCCTTTTGAAAGAAAAGAGAAATCCCAGCACACAACAAAGCTAAAGGATCTTGCAAATATAAAGCCCACCTGAACTGAGACTGAAATCACAGCCTCAGTGCAAATTATACTTCAGAAATTATAAAATGCAACCTAATGCTGTTTGACATATATTCTCGGGCTAAGAGTAGGAAATCTGTACTTGGCACAGTAAATCTGTATCTATGTGCATAACATTAAATACACAAAAATCAAAGCTAGATCAGTACACTATGCCAAGGGTTAAAAAAAATTATCTTTCATTTTTCATTCCAGGCTATTAGGCATTTTTAGTATGCTTTATTCATCTCCACCAGAAGGAAAACACTCTGGAAATGTAGCCATTACTCAACTCAATGGTTACCTCTATTAGTAACAACTATTTGCAAATATCAAAAATATGCAGCTACTATAAAAGGTAAAAACCCAGTTCAACAAAAGAAATTACATTTACTGTTGTTATATCTGTAATTTTACATTCTCTTATTTTACAATTAAGAACCAGAGTTGATTTTTTACTAAATTCCAGAAATATTTCTACCAATCCATTTTCAATGGCAAAAAGTAGCACTAACAGAAATATACTGCCAACTTTATTTCAGCTGCCATGTTTCACCTTCCTATTTAAGCCTTTGATTCCCCTTCTTTAAATCTGTTATTTCTTTTTGTGTCCCCTGCTGGTATATGAACCTGAGACAACATCCCACTTAACTCTCAACACACTTAGAGCATTTACTACCATAATTTGTTCTCTCGCAGAGGAGTGGCAGTGACACAAAAAGCCTGACTGAAAAACTAACATTTAACACATACAGAACTGTATTTTCACTTAGGACTATACTACATTTTATTTGACTTTTGTAAGTTTTGCTCTGTAACATCTATAAATGAACTCCCATGAATAAAAAACACATGCAAATCTGGAAACTAAATCTGAAGTTAAATGTAAGAAATGGAAGCTGGGCAGACAGGCATGTCTACAAGCTTCAATTTCAGTGCAGATGTAGTGGAAGGTTCTTTCAAGAAGAGAAAAGGCCACTATAGAGTCACTACTAGGTAGGGTTGGTTTTTTTCAATTGTCAAATATAAGGAATCATGGGAATTAGAAATCAACCCTAAAAATGGTACATTATATAATGTCAACATTTCTATGTATTTTAAAGCAGTGCATTGAAAAAAATCATTGTTTAGCGTGCTACTCTAGCTGTCTAGACATTTGATGCATACAAGACTTCAGATACATGAAATAAAAGAGCATGTTAGTTTGTGAACAACCAGAAAAGAATCAATTCTAGTGTTACATATTTGTTTACTAGTCTTCAGAAAATGACTTTACTACCAGAAGGGGGACAGACTAAAAAATCAGGGTGGTGGGCAGCAACTGATAATAAATTTTACTGAAGGTTAATACCTGGATTTAGCTAGAAGGCAGAAGATACTGACAGGTCACATTTCATAACATAAAGAACAAAATCTGGTTATATTTCCTGAATTTGACTAAAACTCACCAGGAAAAAAATAAAACAAAGGCAACACAAAACAAAACAACAAAACCCACAAAATCACCACCAGCACCTGTGCAAGGACAACTGTATGGACACTGAAATAATCCACACACAATCTATGAAGGGCTAAGTGCTACAGTCTTTACAGAAATATAATTTAAAATACAAAATTAGTATTTTTAAATACAATTAAGAAATAAAACTGTAAAACTCATATAATCTTTCAAGATTACAAAGAGAACAGTCTGACTTATTGCCTTTTTAAGGAGTGGTTCAATCACATTTCATAAAAACTGGGAACACTATTATCAGCCAAAATAAGAGAAGTGGCATGCAGAATGTAGAAGATAATTGCACAAATACCTGCTCCCTCCCAAGATGAGTTAATTACCTGTTATTGCTTACCTGTGTTCATGTCAGGTGCTGCAAGAAGAAAGTGATTCAGTACATACTGAAGGATCATTTAAATACAGACATGAATGGTCTAAATAATCTCCAATCTAGAGTGGTTATTTTAGTAAGTCGGTCAAGTTGAAGAAGACCAAAGAAATGCTCACCTTCTTTAACGGTGACGATATTCTCTCTCTCTGTCCCGCTCTCTGTCACGATCTCTGTCACGATCGCGGTGCCTCTCCCTCTCCCGGCTCCTTTCCCGGTAATAGTCATCGTGACGGTCTCTACTACGTGATTTGTGCCGCCTACTTTTTTCTCGTGACCTACTGTGGTCCCTCTCTCTGGATCGCTCACGTCTTCTAAAAGAAATTACTTCATTAATTTTTTTTCTTCAAAATATTTGCCATCCCCATGCCGGTTTTGTAGTCTGCTTACGAGTATGAATTTGATCAAAAATAGGTATAAGGGTAAGATCTGTTCATTGTGATGCAGGTATGTTTTTGTATGTAACATTAAAGATGCCTGGTACAAAGAGTGGTGGCTAAGAACTCAGTTACAGGTAGTAAGGGGCTCCCACTTTCTAATGTAGCAAGGAAAAGTCAAAGTACATACTCAGAATGGACAATGACTGAAATCAGCTGGGGGAAATGCACCACATATCAAATGATCACCTACAACATGGCTACTAATCTGCATATGGAAAATATGGGCCAAAACCAATAAATAAAACTAAGAGTTAAATTGAAGCTAGTCAGATCAATTTTGAAAAGAGGGTTAATTAAAAGGCAGCTTTCCTAGGTTCAGGAAAGCCTTATTTGGTTCCTTCACATATTTCCTGTGCAACTCAGCAAATCACTGACTTCTTACAAGCCTTAGTTTCTTCTCTGTGAACTAGTCCTGCACCACACCTTCTCTTTTTTAAGTAAGAGCAGATGGAAGAGGAAAGTTTTACCTGGATCCAGAACCATAAGACTTGGACTCAATTCCATGAAGGCAGTCCTGAAGAGAGCTAATAAGTACTTTGCAGCGATCATCTGCAGATACTTTGGACTGTTTGATTAAGGAAATCGCAGTTACCAAGGTCTCTATAGCACTTCCATAGTCCCCTGAAAATGATGTAAGATCAAGATCAGAAAATTATGCAAATTAAAACACAGATTTTCATCTGTAAGAGTATTACCATTTTGAGTATCTTCTCTTAAACAGCCATCTAGACAATTTACTCTAACACCAAAAATTAAAATACTGTCCTGATCAGTACTCAGAAGGTTTTCTTAGAAACTAACTGAAGCACAGCACAAAATCAGTCATAAGTTGTATCTAAATTCAGCGTTCTATCAGGAAAATGTGGCTTCAGACCTTTCAGATTCCTAATTTTTAAAAAATCCTATAAATTCTTTTCAGTTGGGTAGAATAACAAACACATTAATTGAGTTTTACTAACCAGCACTGGCATCTGATACAGCTCTTGAAATGGCACTGCTTGAGATTGCCCTATTTCTATTCATGATTTCTTCAAATTCTGCTTCACTTAGAGGTGTCCTCGCAGCATCCATTTCTCTGCAAGCAATAAAACTAGTATTTTTAAAATGTTAAGGAGAACTTCAGAAGCTATCATTGCAATTTCAACAATCCAAGTTTGCAATTTTAAGCAGTGACAAACAGAAAAGAAAGCAGGATCTGGGTTTGGTTTTGGTTAAGGACCATCGTTACAATACAAAATCCTGAAAGCTTAAAAAAAACCCCAAAAATATCCCAACAAACCAACCAAACAAAAAACCCCAAAAAAACAATTAAGACATTGCTGTATAAATAGACTTTTTTTTTGTTCATCCCATCTATTTCAAACATTCGGCAGCACTTAATATTGTGCTTGACAAATATTTACAATTTTCGTAAAATCCTTGAAGGTACATAAATAGATATTCCCAACTGAATGGATGTGGAAATACATGTACATAGGCAATGCAGCTTTGAGCAAAATTAGAGAAAATTTTCATAACAGTACTGGAATCAGAACTATATGATCCTGTTTCCCAGATCTTAACTAAGACCAGAATGCTGTAACTTTTGAAAAACAAATATAGTTATCATCTTTAAAACACTCAATTTTCTGAATGATAGGTCAGCATTTTACAGCAATTTTTTTTTCTTAAATTTCTGGTCAAGTTTAAGGTACTCCAATTTAATCTCCCTACTAGTCACAGTAAGGAGGAAGCAATAAAGCAGAATCCTTGTACTCATTACACTTCAATTATCAGCTACCTATACAGGGTTTGCAAAGTAACAGAAGTAAACCTAAATTTTCCCAAAAGTTTTGCAGTGTCCTATTAGCCAGTCTCTGTGTCACATAGAAAATTTGGAGAAATGTGTTAAGAGATAAATGCTGAGACTGTCAAACTGGCCCACTGCTTGATATTTCTAGAACAGTGTTAGTTCTTCTGGTAGAAAGAAAATGCAGAATAATAAGCAATGCTATCCTCTTAATTGCAAGAAGTGGAACAAGATCCTATAGCCAGTTTAGCATAAGAGGAAATGTCTAAAAATTCATACCTCCCTGAGTTTTGAGTATTATTTTTCGTGTGCCTCCCATAGAATGGAATATGTAATTTTTCTCTTATGGACATGTTATTTCCAGTGAAACGCCTATGATATATAATTAATGACAATTTAAATAGTTATGGATGATAGCTTCAACATTATTAATGAAAATACTGGACAGTAAGTTATACTGTCCTATTCCCACTCCTTCCCTCCCCAGACATTCTATAAACTGCAGACAACCTTGATTTAGTCCATCAAAAAACACCCAACACCTTATAGTCTTATATTTTAGGCAATTAAGCCAAATGCTTGGATTTCTATAGAGTTTTTTGTATGAACATCACATGTACACAAATGCTTGGGGGTTTTAAACTTTGCAGTAAAAAAAGAATCAAAGCACAGTATCTTTGCAGGAAACATTTTAAGCCAGAAAAGCATGTCTCATGCTAGCAGTAAAATTATTACTGAAAAATTCAAATCTAACTATGTAAAATCGTCTCCGAATTTATGCCAAAATTTTTGACAAATACAAATATGGTGAAAATCAAGAAACAGCAGCAAGACAGATGCTTGAAATCACAGATGAAAAAGATGTTTCAAACAAGATGTGAAAAACTTGACAAGTCAAGTCAGGGACTTAAGAACTCTGTCACAGATAGGATTAACCACAGGAAAAGCCACTGCTACAAACACAGCAAGATTGCACCGAATGAGCAGAAACATCTTGATAGGAAAGGAAGGTAAAAGTCTTGCAGTAAATTCACACCTGGCTTTTAAGACACACACTAAATTTTAATTAAATCCTGAAGAAAAAAGGGACAAGCAACACTGCTGAAAGATGAAAATGGTATGACCTCAACATATGCACATATTCAAAAAGGAAAACTTGAGAGCATTCTTAAAAGGCAGCCTGCAAAGCACCATGATACAGGTAAAAGTCAGAATTTCAAGTTAAGACAGAAGCACAACCAGAAGCTGCTGCATAAGAAATTATATATAAGTTTACATGTAAAACACATGGAATGATGACACTGCCAAATACAGCGAAGACAAACAGTTCAGAGCTGAAAAGGGAAGTGAGATTACTGGTGTTGCACCTCAGGATTTTCCTCCTGCTCCAAATATGTTTCTCAGATTTAATCCCTTGGAGAAGTTAAAAGGGGCAAACTACAAGATCGCTGGGATGCTTTCTGGCCCTACTTCTAATTGTTCCTAACATTTGCATTAAAAGGAAAAAAAAAATCAAATGCTTCCAACAAGAGGAGTAAAATCTGCTACCCAAACACATTAGACAAAAAGAACTCACCTTCCAGGTGGCCCATAGTCACCTCTGTCATATGGTGGAGGTCGGCCATATGGGTCTGTCGGAGGTGGGCCACGGCTGTCTGAAGTGGGTATGCCACTATTGGCAGGTGGGGGGAAGAAAGCTGGATTCACATGTGGTGCTGGTGGTGGAGCACCTGGCGGTGGCCCAGGGAGATGTGGAGGAGGAGCAAGAGTCAGGGGTGGCCCAAGAGGGCCAGGTGGACGAGGGGGAAATGGACCCGGAGGTGGAGGTGGACCCTGCTGAGGTGGTGGTGGACCTGGTGGTGGCCCATAGCCTGGAACTGGTGGTGGAGGGCCTGGAGGAAGTGGCCCAAGTGGAGGCTGACCAAAAGGCTGTCCTGGAAACAGAACTGGTGGTGGTGGACGATCACCACGATTAGGAGGTCCAGCTAATGGAGGTGGGAGGACCTGACCAGGTGGTGGAGGGCCTGGTGGGCCTGGTGGGCCAGGAGGACCTAAGGGTGGACGTGGGGGAGTTTGTCCAGCTAAAATAAAAACAAACAAAAAACAACAAACAAATAAAATTGAGTGAATAAATACAAAGAAATAAAATTCTTCAGGCTTTTTTTTTTCCCCAGAAAACAATGACAAAAAAGAAACCAACCCTCCCTCCCTGAACACTGTGCAACATGTCCAAGACATGCATGTTCCTGTTTTGGGTCCAGTAGCTTAGAAAAATTTTAACTTATCTGTAGCTATTGAAACTACAGACATCCAGAGATATCTAAAAAGAACAACATTATCTTGTACACCAACAACTCCCCTCCTCAAATCACTTAATCACCTGCTGTTGTTTCCAAAACCCTCAAGAAGATTACAAAAGCTAGAAAACATTACATCTTACTGCAGCTAGTCATTCATGTGGGGCTTCAGATAAAATACATATTAAAAATATGGGAGAAGCTGTATTGGAGAAAGTAATGTAATTGCAGTACCCAAACATTCCTTTAGATTCTCAACTGTTTTTTCAATTTGACTATGTCCCTTGGACTGTTGGCAGACAATCTATTACTGAATGACATTTACTAAAAAATATGTCAGCTGAAAAAAGAACTTCATGGCAGTGCAAACCTAACTGTTTAACGTATTTCTGCTGTATCAGATACCTAACTAAACATGAAGACCTCCTCTTCAAATTTCTGGTGTTTCAAGTGCCTACTAACTGACCACTCAGTGGGCATGAATCAAAGCTGAATTTCTGATCACATGCAAACTTGTACTACAATAAGGAAATCAGTTACTTTACACTCCTCAACATAGGCAATTCTGAGCACATACAGCAAATCACAAAATCTCAACTACCATACACTGAAGCCAAATCTACTTGCTAATGTATATTGACATTGTATAAATAATGTATCTAAAAAAGCTCTTGCCTTGCTACCAAATTTACTAGGTCCAACTTCCTGTTGAATATCAACAAATGAACAGTCAAGTCCTACAATCTAGCTGTGAACACTGATTATGGCTCATTACTGAATTGCCTTGATCTTAATCATTTCCCAAATAAGTATGCCTAATTGAAACACATGTAAGACTGGAACTCCATATATGCATAATTGTACCTGGGAAAGGTGGTGGTGGCCCTCCTGGCCCTGCCGGTCCAGGGAATCTGTCTCCACCTGGAATGGCACCTGGAAAACGGCCCCGACCTCTGTTACTAGGTGGAAATGCTGCTCGTGAGCTTCCTCCCGGGGGACCAGCTTTACCTTCCCCAGACATCTGGCCAGACTGTGTGGCTGCAATGGCAAAGCACATACATTACATGTCATTACATAGATCAAAATAGGTTGAAGTATTTCAACTCTTGACCCAAAGTTTTATGCAGTGCTAAAGCGTGACCTTGTGAGCACCAATTTGCTTCCCGTATGCAAACCCGATGCATTTGGGAAGGAAAACATTCTTTGCTAAAATACTAAGCCTCATACTAAAGGAAGAGGATTGGAGAGACTGCCAGTCCTTCCTTCAATGAAGCCCAACACCACACTGAGAAACACAAGACATGGTGCTAAAGTACAGCATGGAACCACTCTTCCCCATTGTATCATAAATACAGACCATCCACACATCAGAATTTAGTCCAGTTTGTCTACAAATGTTCAATTTCTAAATGCTCTTGAGCTTTTTTTTTTTAAATTATGTCCACAGGAAATTGAGAAAACATCCACAGCTGTTAAGACAAGAGTTGCACGAAGCTGCAACCCTCTGTCAGAATGCAGCAGCTCTTCAGTGTATGAAGTGATTTCTTTAAACAAAGATAGAAGTTCATTCACCCAGACTCTAAGTATTTTATGGCTATTTTAAACTGTGTAGAAATTACAAGATGCTGGGCTAAAAACCTGCCATTCTACTTTTCCAAGTGAAAGTGCTTTTCCAAGAGAGCACTTAAGAAAGGCTTACTTTTCCTTGACTGCATTTCAAATTGACTCAGAAACTGTTTATTACACGGAGTTACAACAGGATTCTGGCCATGTAATTCTCTTTTAGGCAACAAATCCATCAGCTTTTTGGAGGATGCTTCCGATCCCACACCCACAAGGGCAAACCTGAAAGGAAAGAAAAATAGTTACACCACAATTTGCTCATTTTCTGACATCCTGACATCTCATGAAAAAGATTACACACAGTAAGCAAAGGAATACTTGAACTAGACACCAACAATGTCTCACAGGTCTTAGTCCAGCTTTCAGAACAGATAAAATAATTTATTCTAGGACATAAAAGAAGGAAACAAAACAGCAAGTACAGGATGCATCAAAATTTATCCCAACAAAGGCAGCTTTTTTGGCAGAGAATCAAGAGACTACATAATGAATTCATATGATGAAGTTATTAAGCATACACTCATACACTGTGCTCATTGCTGCCAAAGAGACAGAAAGGCACATTCAAGCAGTGAAATTTAGGTTGCCAGTGAAAAATGGGCTCAAGTACTTACTTTAAATAGCTAATAGAAAATAAAGATGTAAAGAAAGATTGAATAATGAAGGCTGGGAGAACAGCATTTACACTGAAGAAAAACAAACATCACTACCACACCAAAAAAACCATCTAGAAATAGTCTTATATGAAGATCACCAATGAGCTTCAACTCACAAACTAATGAGATACACAGTACTATCACAAAAATTTATACCTGAAACTTAAGTCATTAGTATGAAATTATATGCCAAATCATTTCTGGATCAATAAGCTAAGATGAGCAGTTCAAAGACTGACAATTATGAAAATTGAGAACTCCTTCCTCTCCCAAACTTCAGTCCACATATAGAAAAAAACAAGTTCTTACCCTTTAGACTGGCCATTAGCACGATTTTCAAAAAATTTTATCTCCAAAATGTCATTTACCCCCAGTGAATGAACTGCTTCAGTTAAGTCTTCATCTGTTGTCCACTGAAAAATATTTTTAATATTCAACTATGAGAGCTTATCTAAAACACCAGGCAAAGGGCAACTAAATTTTCCATGGATTTTTGAGTGTGCATGCGTGTGTGTGTGTGTAATTGATCCAGAGGAATATTTTATTCAGGCTGTCAATATATTCGGAGTCTTGGAGTAGTCATTTTCATTTTAAAATTCAACAATTAGTTCAGCTAATTCACGCACATTTTGCTGATTCCATTCATGTACTTCAAAATGGGATAACTTAAGTCAACAGTCAGGTCCTTTACTTACCTGTTAGCTCCTGAAGTACTGTAATAACTAATGAAAAAAACACCCACAGTAAGAAATGATCAGAAACGAAAAAAAATTAATTTTTTAAAATTTATCTTTTAAAATAGAATTTTGCATATGTGGGCCCTGAAGAACTTGATTTCATGTAACCAGATAAAAGCTCAACTTAATTCAGCACTGACCAGCTCTTGCACTGTTTGCTTTACTGCAATTGATTTTAAAATACTTTCATTCTAATGAAAGTAATTTTCCTAAGGGCACCTTCAGTTCAGTGAGTTATCATAAACCTGTTCTTCTGGGACAGAGAAATAAGCCTCAAGACAAATACCTGAAAACAGTTATGCTGAAAGAGTCACTGCCGATGGAAACGGCCCTGGAAAAATGTGAAAAGTAATTTCAAGAAAATCCCAGAGCAACCTCCTTTTAAACTAAAACCTTCAGCAAGAGTTTAGGAAAAATTTGGCCTGTTTAGTAACCTTGAAGTGTTTACAGGCATGAAGTATTTAACAGTTTAAACTTGTTCTCTTCTTTCATTTGGTTCTCTGAAAACCTTAAGAACACAGTAGCACAAATATCCTTTAATAACACTTAAAATGTGACAGAAACTCTCAAGTTTATATTTACTGAAGACTTTCATGATTTTTAAGACATCACGACAGCTCCAGACAGGCTCTCTTGAGTTTCAGGTAAAAGGAAAAATGATCCCACAACCACAAATGAAAAGGGAAGAAAATCAAACCAACAACAAAAACAACTGGGTTGTGATACACATAATATTTCAAATAAAACATTTTAAAGCAAAAAATTTTACAAGTAGTTACGTCCATAATTAAAATTCCTGTCTACAACTAAACAGCAGTAAGATACTTACCCAAGTGAGATTTCCAATGTACAAGGCAATTCTCTTTCCAGTATACGTATAGACAACATTTGGTGCAGCTCCTTTACCTACATCATCCCCAACAGATGGCGGAAGAGAATCCATGTAATCACGATCCTCTGGAGCATCTCCATTATTTGCAGATGGAGAAATTACATCATCATATAAATCAATCTGATCATGCCCACCATATTCAGCCTCCTAAAATAAAAAAGACATCTTGATTATAATTAGTATTACTCTTAAAACTTATTGAAGCAAAAGTTGTGATAATTGCCATGTTCCACAGACACAGTAAGTCTGATCAACCACCGACACAACATCCCTGTTGAAAAGCTAAGCACCAGTTTCCTCCACATCAAAACATATAAAATTCTTACGACACTCACTACATTCTAAATTTATGTGGAAAAAAATACTTCTGGCCACTGTTTTCCATGCCAATACTTTTGCCCTTGTAATATAAGCAGAAATCAAAAAATCTACAAACCCTACTCCCAGAATTGTATACATTAGAATGCAGAAGTTTCATGCTTTAATCCCAGATTGCAACTAAGTACCACACAATTGCTTACTCACTTCTCCCTCCCCAAACACTCCATGGGACAGATGAGAAAAATCAGAAAAAAATAAAACTTGTGGGATAAGAAAAGTTTCAAAACTGAAATAAAATAAACTGCCTGTGTCTGAGCAGTGATCAGCCTCGTCCACCCAACTCCCACCAGTTTATGTACTGGGCATGGTGCTCTTCCACCTGATGCTTTCCTATAATACAGCAGGACCCATCAATAAACTAGGTATATTGCATCTCATTTTGTGGTAGTTTATTATATAATGGGGTCCCTCAGCACGTGTTATCTCCTCCTCTAGTGACATTCTGACATCTTTGTCTTTTAGACAGTCCACGATGATTTCCAAGATTCTTGGGCAACTGGGATATCCTATTTGAGCTCACTATATGGTCACTGCAACCCATTTATTTCATGTAGCACCAGCTACACGATGCAAAGACCACCCCCCTTTGAACATCCAGCCCAGCCCTGGCAGTCACTGGGGAGCTGGAGGAGCTGTGCTTCAGCACCAATCCCTTCCAAAGCAGCTCCTTGATTGGACTCCAGTATCTCTTTCAGCAGGAGTATAGGAGGCCTCAGATACTCAGTCTCCCCAGTTCCATATCAGAGGGCTGGAGATGGCCTGGAGTCTCTCCTGGTGCTTTCTGTCAGACACTGCAGGTAGGGTCATTTGCCCTGGCTGCAGTATAGAGCACTTTTTTACATCTTGCCCTGCCCAGACTGGCCTGGGGGCTGCTGCATGAACTATGTCCCACTTAATTTGTTCAAAAGCTTTTTGTTGCTCAGGGCCTCATTTGAAATCATTCTTCTTCCAGGTCATTTGATAGAGAGGGCTTACAGTTAGACTGCAATCTGGAATATGTGCATTCTCCAAAAACCCACAACACCTAAGAAAGCTTGTGTTTGTTTCTTACTAGTTGGTGGAGACATTGCTGATGTTTTGTTGATGACATCCATTGGCATCTGACAACATCCATCTTGCCATTTTATTCCTAGAAACTCAATATCCCATGCAGGTCCCTTGACCTTGCTATGTTTTACGGTAAAAATAGCTTTTGGAATAATTTGGACGTTTTTCTTCCCTTTCTTAAAAACTTCTGCTCTGTATGGGCCCACATGATGATATTATCAATGCATTGCAGGTGTTCCAAAGCTTCACCCTGTTCTAATGCAGTCTGGATCAGTCCATAGAATTGGCAGCGCTGTGTTTCCACCCCTGGGGCACTGGATTCTAGGTCTACTGGACATTCCTTTAAGTGGAAGTAAATTGTGGCCTGTCAAAGCTATTGAGACACATTAGCAATGTCAGCTGTGGCAAACCACTTGGCAGCTTTTGACTGCAGCTCGTATCAGAGTTCCAGCATGCCCAGTACAGCAGCACTCAGCCACAGTGTGACTTCATTCAGGCCACCATAGTTCACTGTGGTTCTCCATTATCCAGGCCATATGGTCCTGCTGATCACTGCTTGATTCTCCAGTTGATAAATCAGCTTGTGAATGGGAATCACGGAGTCTCGGTTGGTGCAATGCTGCTGCTGCTGCAACGCCATGGTAGCGACCAGCACCTGTTCTCTGACCTTCAGAAAGCCCAACAGAAGTGTCCTCTGAGGGAACAGGCAAGGCAGGCAGCTGCTTAACTTCCTCCACCTCCAAAGCAGTGGTACTGAACATCCACCTTTTGGGTCCTTGAAATACCCTCTCCTAAGGCACTCTGTGCCAGGGAACCAGAACCTTTGGGCCCGACACAGACAGTGCTTCTGCCACATGTTCCCGGTCCGGCTCGCTTCAGCCTCCAGTTTAGTCAGCTGTTGGCTTCCCCTCTCTCTCCAGAAACAGAAATAGGTTCTGCCCCTGCAGAGCTGGATGGCACTGGGGTACCCTGTGCACTCCATACACTCCTGCAAACACAGCATATGAAAATGGCATGCTCGGACAAGCTGCCACAAGGATCACAGGCACTGGAATTCTTCTGGGTCTGTGGGTGACTGCACACTGTCTGGGTCATAACAAAGGTACTGGATACCTCTGCGGTGGCCCTGGGTGACAGGGAGCATCTTCCTTGAAGGGATGTCTTTCCTTCACACTCCACAGGAGTCAGCTCCGGAAGGCTGAGGCCCTTTGCCAATCACCTTGTCAATGCTCCCTTCCTTACAAGGTGATCCCAGCTGCTTGATTTCCCTACCCTGATTCCAAGCTACAAGCCCTCTTCCCCAGCACCCCAGCAGCCAGGTGATCACCTGCTCACCTGGGTGATGGCTGAAATCTCTTTGCATATCCCACAGCTCTCTCAGGGATAGGGATTGAGTGGTTCCCTCTTGTTCCACTTCTTCCTCCTGCTCTTGTGATGGCCCTGCTTTGTTCTCCTTTGCTAAACAAACTCTCTTTTGTCCAATTCTCCTGGTGAGAAGGGGTGACTGATACCAGCAGGGTTGGTGCTCTGGGTCAGCTGCATCACCCATTGCAAGGGTCCGAGCACCTGCAGCACCTGCCACAAAGGCCTGAGTAGCCACAGTGCCTGTCACACGGTTTGAGTAGCTGCAAAGAGTTGTCTAACCCTAACCAAGACCTGGCATACAATCATGATTCCTGGCAATAGAGCCACGTTTCAACATCCCAAGGATATTCAAAAATTTCAAGAGCTACTGTCATTAGTCTGGCAGAGAAGGGGAATATGTAGGATCATGACTCCTCCACAGGTTAAGTCTCAGAGGATGAAAGGTAAAAGGTGTAATCATTAATAGTTTACAATAGATCACTCACAAAGTACAAAGATGACAGCAGAGCTGAGTACAAGTAACAGATTACTTTCACAACCAGCAATTCTGTAGTATCATATGCTAGTGTTCACAAGATCATCAAATGCCTTGGGTTAGAAGAAACCTTAAAAACCATCTAGTTACAAGTCCCCTGCTGTGGGCAGGAATATCTTCCACTAGACCAGACTGCTCATGTTAAAACACAACACAACAACATCAGACCAGTTCCCACAGGTGAAAAACAACACAACAGGAAGCACACGCTGGAAGTAAGGAGTTAAAACAATGGAGCTCTGAGAACAAGCAGAACAACTGCTTGAGAGTTGAGAGCATAAACTCAACATTGTGTCCAACGGCTATTAAACTAATTAACAAATGCTTAAAGCAATTTTGTTCTAGCATGTTCTGGTCAGATTTGTTGTTTTCTCAACCTGTCAAGCCCCATGATGGGTGATCAAAAAAGGGCTATTGTGCTTTAACTCCAGCTGGTAACTAAGTGCCACACAGGCATTTGCTCACTCCACCCCCCAAACTCTGTGGAACAGGGAAGAGAATCTGTGAAAAGGTAAAACCCATGGGTTGAGACAGGAACAGTTTAATAACTGAAATAAAGTAAAATATAAAAAGAATTATGGCAATGATGAAAAAGAAGACAACAAAAAGGGATGAAATAATGCACAAGCCAGTAAAGTGATGCATAACCACTGATGCTCACCACATGCTGACCAATGCCCAGTCCATCCACAAGCAGCAATTGCCCCTCCGAGCCAACTTCCCTCAGCTCCCTGTACTCTCATACCTTCCTGCAGAACAGAAACTGCCTCCGCCAGGTTTTGGTATCAGAGATATTTCAGCACCCACTATGAATTTGTATCCAGAAACTCACAGAAGCATCCTAGACAGACTAGTTCAAGGTACCATATATGGCAGCTAGAGATAACCAAACTGGACTCCACAAAACACAGGCCACAAAGGTGGAAATGCTTGCTGTAAACCCAAGATATCCACAACCATGATCAGAAGATCCACCGTCTTAAAAATATAAAAATATTATCAACTACTGCTCATACAGGGAAAGTGTAACTAAAACAAATAATATAATTGAAAAAACCCCCAACAGGTAAACTGAATTTTGGCATTGTCAATCAAGTGCATTTAACCCTCAGTAAACTGCATCGTCCCAATAAACTTCAATAGAAAAATCTCTCTCTAAAGGTAAGCTTATCACAATTAAATTAAGGGTTTCATATTTCACCTAGTCTATCCAGTTCTCAGTTTGATTCCTCCTACCATCATAGCTAATGAAATCAGGTACACAGAACTGCCTGAGACAGGCCCAAACATGACATCTTACAGCTAGACTAAGGCTGATGTCACAGGGCAATTAAGGAAATCCTCTGCTAAATGTACAGTAACTCTAGTCATCTATGTATATGAATGATTACTTCAAGGAAGTAGAATTTAGTCTTGGTAGACAGATGCAAAAACACAATTACCAAACTTACAGCAGATGTATGTACACTAACCTACCTCTCTGAGGTCAACATTGCCACAACACCAGAGTGGGCAGCAGTCCACAGCTCTGCTGCAACAAGAAAGTCCTTTGAAACAGATCATTTGTATCACACAGGCTTTCAGGTCTCCATCAGTGGAGAGAGAAAATTATTAAGACAGCAGAGTCTGCATGTAATTGAGAGGGGGCAGGGCAGGCCAAATAACACCAGTGTCTTAATTTAAATAAATAAGGACACAAGAGAAAACCTGATGTTGTTCACTAGACTTTCTTCTCGCATCATGCTGGTTTTGCATCCAGCATGGAATTCATTCACTTACCAATCTATCAGCAAGGTGTGTGCTTTGATGATTAAGAATG